GTATAGGAGAATATATTCATAAATGACATATCTGACAAGGGGTTAACATCCAAAATATATAAAGAGCTCACATGTCTCAACACCAAAAAAGCAAATAACCCGATTAAAAAATGGGCAGAGGATCTGAAGAGACACTTCTCCAAAGAAGGAATTTAGATGGCCAACAGGCACATGAAAAGATGCTCCACATCGCTAATCATCAGGGAAATGCAAATTAAAACCACAATGAGATATTACCTCACACCAGTTAGGATGGCCACCATCGAAAAGACAAGGAACAACAGATGCTGGTGAGGATGTGGAGAAAGGGGAACCTTCCTACGCTGCTGGTGGGAATGTAAATTAGTTCAACCAGTGTGGAAAGCAATATGGAGGTTCTTCAAAAAACTAAGAATAGAAATACCTTTTGACCCAGGAATTTCACTCCTAGGAATTTACCTGAAAAAAAAAACAAGATCCCTGATTCAAAAAGGCATATGCACCCCTATGTTTATGGTAGCACTATTTACAATAGCCAAGATACGGAAGCAACTTAAGTGTCCATCAGTAGATGAATGGATAAAGACGTGGTACATATTCACTATGGAATATTATTCAGCCATAAAAAGAAAACAAATCCTAACATTTGTAACAACATGGATGGAGCTAGAGGGTATTATGCTCAGTGAAATAAGCCAGGCAGAGAAAGACAAGTACCAAATGATTTCCCTCATTTGTGGAGTATAACAATGAAGAAAAACTGAAGGAACAAAACAGCAGCAGACTCAAGAGACTCCAAGAAAGGACTAGCAGTTACCAAAGGTAAGAGGTTGGGAAGGGTGGGTGGGGAGGGAGGGAGAAGGGGATTAAGGGACACTTAATTAGCAATCACAATATAGGCAGGTCATGGGGAAAGCAGTACAGCATGGAGAAGACAAGTAATGAGTCTATAGCATCTTACTACACTGACGACAGTGACTGCAATGGGGGGGGACTTGATGATATGGTTGAACGCTGAAACCAAAATGTTGCTCACATGAAACCATCATGAGATTGTGTATCAATGATAACTAAATTAAAAAATAAATAAAAGAATGTTTAAAGAAAAGAGTGTCTTTTGTTACTCATAATGATCCCTTTGTGTGCACACCTGAATCTGTGCTAAAGCGTGACTCAGGATGTGGTCTCTCAATAGCTTTAGAATGGGGTAGTCACTAGTAAAAGAAAATGAAACATGATTAAAGGATGGGAACTCTTAGCCTCCTCACCCCACCAATGGGTGTCCTGTGTGGAGGGTGGAGCAGGAGAGTGGATTATAAAATTCTTGAACAAAGAGATTTGGAGAACACCTAAACTGGTGAACTCATCAAGGTGCTGTGAGGATGACAAGTCCTGAGAGGGGCAAAGGAAACTCCAGACCCCTCCCCTTGTACCTTGCCCTATGCAGCTCTTCCACTGTGGCTGTTCGTGAGTTTTATCCCTTATAATAAACTGGTAAATGTAAGTAAAGTGTTTACCTGAGTTCTGTGAGTATTCTGCAAATGACTGAACCTGAGCCTACGGGGAAGGTCATGGGACCACCAGAATTTGCAGCTGGCTAGGCAGAAGTGTGGGTAGCCTGAGTACCCCATTTGGGGCTGGCGTCTGAAGCAAGGCAGGCAAGGTTATGGGACTGAGCTCTTCACCTGTGGGGGTGGGTGCTAACTGCAGAATTACTGTCAGAACTGAACTGAACTGCTGGACACCCAGTTAGTGACAGAGAACTGAGAATTGCTTGGTGTGGACAAACCACACATTTGGTGGCAGACGTGGTGTCGGGGGAAGGAAAAGAGTTTTATAATGCATACAGTATAATACAGTACAACATACAAAATTTACAGTGTGCAATGTAAAAGGTTTGAAGATGACTACCCAAACTTGGTAGATGACTACCCAGAGATGAACTTAAAATTTTACTAACTATAAGAGAATTAATAAAGAAGCAGTGTAAAAAATTACAGAACTCAATAGCTTTCACAAATATAATCAATAACCACAGAGACAACATCATGGAAGAAAAGATTACTTATATCAGAAACAAAAAATGTGAGATACCAATAAATAATCTCAGGTTATACAAGATAAGGTTTGAGAAATGGAAAGGCATACCTTATTCCAGGAGAAAGAGATTCAATATGAATATTAATTAATTTTAATATAAACATTAACACTTTAGTTCTCCCTAAGTTCATAATTAATATGATTGAAAAAAACCAACAGCAATTTTTGGCCTATGGTTTACTTTAAAATAATAGGAAAAGAGGTGAGAGTAGAATATACTACCCCAAAACATGCCACTTTGGCATAAAGATTCTCTTGAGCTGAAGACAAAAGGAGACAGAAGAAAAGTTCTCTGCCCTCTCACTATTTGCCTGAAAGTGGGACATAAATTTTGAAAGGTGTTGCCCTTTGCCTCTTTATCAGCAAGGACAGAATTAAATCACCAGAGAAAACTTTAGACCCTTATGTGCCCAGTCAGCACACAGGAATCAATTTAAGAAACTTTACTAACAAGCCTTTATCTTCCATTAGTTCCCCCATATATTCTAACCTTCTGTTAGAATGCCATATAAGCTCAAGTTTGAATGACCCCTTGAAGTTACTCATCACTGAGTACTCCTGTGTGTCTGTCTGCACAATGCAGTGTTAATAAACTTTTTTTGTAGTGAATCTGTCTTTCATCAGTCTGATTTGGAGGACCCCAACAAATGAACCTAAGATGAGTACAGGAAAGATTTTTTTCCTCCCCTACAGGGGAATATGGGTGGTAGGTGTAGATGGAAAAAGATAAACCATTAGTTGACAACTGCTGAAGTTGGGTGATATGTACCTGGAAGTCATCACACTATCCTCCCTAGTTTTGTATTATTTGAAA